TCAACATTTTAGGTGTTAAAACGCAGTTCCTATGAATATTTTGAATAAATGACACTGAGGATCATTTCGAAAAACAGTTGACAGGCTAAATTAACACTTTTGTGCTTATTTCAATGAAAAAGAGATACAATTGTGTTTCTCAACTAAAAGTGATGGTGATTTTACATTTTGTCCACTCATCTGTTTTGTCTTATCGTTTTTAGTCAGATTGTTAATTTATGTAGCTCATAATTTACCTTAATTCCTTTTAGTTGCATGAACATGCTACTTATTTGGTCGATAGTTTATGGGATTTATGCCCAATGCTTCGTGATTGGGAAGCTATGCTAGATTTACTCCTTGAAGAACCAGGCAGGGGTGAGGAACCTATGGATGCAAATCAAGAAACAAGTTTGATCGAAATTATGGTTTGTTGTGTTCGTCAAGCAGCAACTGGGGAATCACCAGTAGGGCGACAGGTCAGTCACTTTTGAGTTTATCTGTTGACATTTATTTTATTTACTTTATACTACGAAACATTTTGTGCATGTGTTGTTTCGGTGTATAATAATTTATAAATCATTTATTGTCTACAGACTGGTGGCCATCATTCACATTCCAATACCAACTTATTGACTGGTGGTATGAACCTTATGGAGGCTGGTGGGCGCGGTCGAGGTGGTGGAACTACTGGCACAGGGAACAGTGCTGCACCGTCTTCCCGTGAAGCTCGTGCTCTGGCTGAAGAACGTAGTCGAATGACAGAAGCAATGATAACTGCTATACCAGCACTACTTGCTAAGTATGGAGAATCTCCTGAACGAGCTACAAATCTTCTTGCTATTCCACGACACATGGAAATGGAACTCTACACTACAGGCCGACATGAAAGACATTTGGACCTTCTACTACAAGCTATTCAGGTATGATCACTTTTATTTCTAATAAATAACCTAGTTTAAATTTATTCTATGTAATGTCGTCTGCACACTTGATGTTTAATTTTCATATACATGTGAATAAGTAGTTAATCCGTTTAAGGCAGAACATTTTATCTCACGCATAGTTTCTTTTACTTGCTTTAAAAGAAGTCTTCCTTTTTGATCTGGTTAGTTTTTGCTAGGATTTTATATTCGATCGTCAAGTAATTAGATTAATTATTCATCAGGTTCATGTACTTGATGACTAGCATAATGACTCTTGTTGCCTCCTTGCTCAAGTCCATATGGATCGAGACTCAAACCCGCGATCCTGACCAAAATTCGATTGTTTCTCCCACTTGTAAGGCTAATTAAACAAAACTAAATCAAAAAACAACATAAGGTTCAGTAACATCATAACCAATTGTGAGATGGTGGAGAAAATTTGTAGCTCAGCTGGATGATTGTGGTTGATTTAACCACTGAGTCATGTTGGTAGATGTAGACTACCTGGTTGGGGTCCGCGAGATGATAGTAACCTATGGTTAGAGCGCTTGAATGGAATGGCTCAAAATCGTTTGTAATGGCGCAGGTGCACCCACTCGTTGTGTTCTATGAAAATCTAATCTAATTTCGTCATCACCTCTACCTTTAGCTTTCTAAATTTATCTCACTGAATTATACTTCTACTACCTCTACTACTATGGGATTTGAAGTGTGGTATGGCAAAATTAACTTATTCACATACGTACGAAGTACTTCGTTGTAACTGACTGGCTGATTTAACTAAATCCCATTCTGTAGTGATTAAACCCGATATGTTGTGTTGGCTCATTTGAAACTCACCAATACAATGCTGTTTATTTACTCTGCCAGGTTAGATGTTTTTGTGTGTATTTGTTACATGCCGCAATTAATTGTTCAATAATCATATGTAATAATTATCTTACATAGACAAAATCTTAACTAATGTAATTTCATCGCCAGGAACGATAAGCCTTGATGATTGTTGTTCTATAAATAAAGAGTTAATCAACTGAGTTAGTCTTACGTTTATTTAATTTATTAGTGCTTTGTTTGTGGATTTGACGATGTCATGTTTCACTAAAAGTATTTATCATAAACCATTTCTCATTTCTAGGATATTGTAGAACGTCATACTGATCCACAAACATTATTGGCTTGTTCACGTGTTTACGAATCGTTGTGTATTGATGAGCTAAGTATTGCTGCCAAGTGTCAAACTGTTCGTGGAACATTGTTGGATCGTTTGGTGGATCTTTATCGTGATGCATTCTTAAACTACTTTAATGATCAGGTTAATTTTTATATGAAAATTGCTGATTGTGTTTATACCATAAATTTTAGTTATCTCCTTTCTATCATAGATAAATACATATAAATATAGTTTTTGTAATTACTGGGATTCTTAGCAATCTCATTTGCTCTTGTAATTTGATAGGACATTCTTTAATTTCATGTCAAATAGATTTTTTTCGCTACAACTTTTCTGAACTTTATACGAGATGTTTTGACTCAACCATACTGTATAACATCTCACCAGCAAATACATTTCAGTGCATACGCTTTTTCTGCTAATATGTATCTGCTCACATTCACTCCTATACAACCGGTTGATTTACACATCTGCTTGAGTTGATCTTAAGTGTAAGCCACTAAAAATATTAAAGCTCTAAATTCTGTATATGGTTGGTTATTTGCTTTTAGTAGTAGTCGTTTATCAATTGGGTCGTTTAATTTGTTTTTTTTTTCGTCGTGTAAAACTAGAGATGTAAATATCATCCATATAATGTTAGTAATATCTTTTCACTTTTTAGGGAGAGGAACCTGATCAAGATGATGAATTTCACTTATTAGCTGCATTGAAACGAATCTATGCGTTTTACGCGTGAGTTCTAAATGTATTTATCCTTTTGTAAGCAGACTATTATTATACTGCGCTGTTATATTTACTAAAAGGAGGACAGCTATGAATAAAGTTCTTACTGTTATATACAGTTACTTCACTTCATGACTTTATCTTAAAAATTCGCCACTTGGAATTATTTAATTCTGTCATTGTTATTATTATTATTTACGACGGTCAGAGAAAACTGAACATTCACGCTTTCAAATAATTCAGAGGCTATCCAACAAAGTGGTTTTTTGCAGAGATTTCTACAACGTACATATACTCATGAGTGCATAAGCCTAATCTTTGAACCACACATTTCTTATTAATGTTTGTGATATTATCACGTTTTACCAACCTAAATAAAGTATGGTTCGGACCTTCAATTCAGCGTTTTACTTAAGCCACTTACGATCATAGTTGTTAAAGTGATCACTATTCAAGAATCTTGATTCTGATCCTTTTGTTTCCCTAATATATGATGTCGAACAACACGATAAACCTATGGTGCTATTTAGTTAGATACATTCTGCATGAAACTCGTGTTTAGCTATCCTCGAAATAAACATTTTTTTGTCATATCTGTACTAATAAACTTAATTATTTCGGTCTTCATCTTAATTGTGTTGTCACTCCTGAAAACCTATGTACACTACGGCTGACACTATGCTCATTATGGACATCCGTTTCCATCTTTCCTTACCTAAATTAAATTTTTCTGCTTCATACTTTATATTTTATCGTACATTTTTGCTGTTATCTAAGACTTGTTTAGAATCTGGACACTAGTCGAACTCATTGTAATCAATCTTTTCGTAATAAACTGCAATCTAATATGCAGCAGAATTTATTTACAGTTTAGAGTTACGTCCATCTCCTGTATGAAACAGTAGAATCCCTGTAAAATTTGTGATATTGTGAAATGCCTACTGGTGGTGGTTGTAGGATTTATCGAAAAAAAAATTTGCAGCATCTCATATTTACCCAAAGATTTACGTGATATTATTTTCTAAATAATTCTAGTTGTCACGATCTTTCTGGATTGGATTTATGGGATAGTCTTATCAGGATTGCACAATCAGGAAATGATGCCAATGGTGAGATTGTAGCTCAAGCTGTTAGTTGTTGTTCTAAAGCTCTATTATGGAATCTTGCCAGAATTGGAGAGGCTGATGCGGACAAAGTAAGTTCAGATTGATTATTTTCACATTTTTTTTCCTTACCGATTTCACTACAATATTTTTTTTGACTACTATTTTACAGAACAGTGCATTAGTTTGATTAATGTTTGTCTCTTCTGTTGTGTTTTTTTTCCCGATGGAGTTGTTTTTGTTTGGTGAATTGATATTCGAATGATTGATTTCTCGTGTTGTTTACAACTATCCACTACCCTGTTTAAGAAGGCCGGTTTTCGGAATGTTACTTTTTCACTACTACTCACATTCTTTATTGAAACTTCGTTTGATTCTGATAACGCTAAGCTTTAATTTTGAGATTCACCAATTTTGAATTTCTTACTCCAGTTACTATTTATCTCCTTTTTTTGTTTTGATTAACATTTCTGTTTCATTGTCTCTCTTTGTAGGCAGATTTGAATAAACTACGAAGACAGTTAAATCTCTATATGGACGTATGCATTGGTTACTTAGATCATTCATGTAAACGATTAGCATCAGAATCATTTCTGTCTATTTGTGATTTGTTAGTTGTTTTCTCACGTCATCTTTCTACTCATTTGCCAAATTTGAAATCTATCATTTATACAGCTGACAGAGATTTAGAACTCAAGCTGACCAATTTCTTAGAGCAACGGGTTTTTGTTGATGACGATGATGTAAGTTTTTTTCATTTTCCAACTAATTTCTTAAAGTATTTTTTTCTGAATTCGAATCTCTGTACCGTCACCCTATGTATTGATTGTTTTGTAGCTGTATATTAAAATGTAAAGGCGTCACCATGCCCCAGGTTCGAACCCCCCTGTTCGACGTACTTCGGTTTTGTTAATGTTATAACATTAACAAAACCGAAGTACGTCCGAACAGGGGGGGTTTCGAACCTGGGCATGGTGACGCCCTTTACATTTTTAATATACAGCTACAAAACAACCAATAACATAGAGTGACGGTACAGAGATTCGAATTCAGAAAAAAATACTACAAGAAATTAGTTGGAAAATGAAAAAAACTTACATCATCATCATCAACAAAAACTCGTTGCTCTAAGAAATTGGTCAGCTTGAGTTCTAAATCTCTGTCAGCTGTATAAATGATAGATTTCAAATTTGGCAAATGAGTAGAAAGATGACGTGAGAAAACAACTAACAAATCACAAATGGATAGAAATGATTCTGATGCTAATCGTTTGCATGAATGATCTAAGTAACCAATGCATACGTCCATATAGAGATTTAACTGTCTTCGTAGTTTATTCAAGTCTGCCTGAAAAGAGAAACAATGAAATACAAATGTTAATCAAAACGAAAAAAGGAGATAAAGAGTAACTGGAGTAAAAAATTCAAAATTGATGAATCTTAAAATCAAAGCTTAGTGTTATTAGAATCAAACGAAGTTTCATCAAAATAAAAATTATAAAGAAAGTAAATAATTACAAAGTATAACTCCAAATAGATGTGCTTTGTAAACAAGAATAGTAAATGGACACTGGTACGAGTAGGAGAAAGCAGTGAGCTGTATAAAGAGTGTGAGTAGTAGTGAAAAAGAAACATTCCGAAAACCGGCGTTCTTAAACAGGGTAGTGGATAGTTGTACACAACAGTCAGATGCAACGTAGAACTTCGTACTTGAGTACATCAGTTCATGTTGCCATACCACATATTGGCACAGAGATATAATTGTCAATTCAAATCCGATAGTAGAGGTTAGGATTAGAAGATATTATTCAAAAAGTATGATTCAGTGAGATAAGGTTAGAAAGACAAAACTAGAGGTGTTAATGAATCCAGAAGATTAGGATTTGAGAGAACACAAAGAATAAATGCACCGGCGCCATTGCAAACGGTTTCGAGCCATGTCATTCAGGATACACAACACAAGAAATCAATCATTCGAACATCATTTCACCAAACAAAAACAACTTCATCGGAAAAAAACCACAACAGAAGAGACAAACATTAATCAAACTAATGTACTGTTCTGTAAAATAGTAGTCAAAAAAAATATTGTAGTGAAATCGGCAAGGAAAAAGAATGTGAAAATAATTAATTTAAACTTACTTTATCCGCATCAGCTTCTCCAATTCTGGCAAGATTCCATAATAGAGCTTTAGAACAACAACTAACAGCTTGAGCTACAATCTCACCATTGGCATCATTTCCTGATTGTGCAATCCTGATAAGACTATCCCATAAATCCAATCCAGAAAGATCGTGACAACTAGAATTATTTAGAAAATAATATCACATAAATCTTTGGGTAAATATGAGGTTCTGTAAATTTTTTTTCGATAAATTCTACAACCGCCACCAGTAGTCATTTCACACTCAAAATTTTACAAGGATTCTACTGTTTCATACAGCATTTAAATGAGATAGGAATGTAAAGAAATTCTGCTGCATATTAGATTGTGGCTTATAACTAGCAATGAATCTGATTAGTGTCCAGATTCTAAACAAGTCTTAGATGACAGCAAAAATGTACGGTAAAATTGAAAAATAAAAATTTAATTTAGATACGGAAAAATAGAAATGGATGTCCATAATAAGTATCGCGTTAGCAGTAGTGTGATAACACAATTAAGATGATGACTGAAATAATTAAGTTTATTAGTACAGATATAACAAAAAAATGTTTATTTCGAGGACAGTTAAACACGAGTTTCATGCGGAATGTATCTGACTAAATAGTGCCACAGAAGGTTTATAGTGCTGTACGACATCATATATTAGTGAATGAAAACGATCAGAATCAAGATTCTAGGATAGTGTGGTCACTTTAACAACTTTTATTGTAAGTGGCTTAAGTAAAACGCTGAGCTGAAGGTCCGAACCATACTTTATTTAGGTTGGGAAAACGTGATAATATCACAAGTTTTAATAAAAAAACGTGTGGTTTAAAGATCAGGCTTATGGATTCATGAGTATATATAACGTTGTAGAAATCTCTGCAAAAAGCCATTTTGTTGAATAGCCTCTGAATTATTTGAAAGCATTCAAAATGTAACCGATGTCATATGAATAAAATTCTCTAACGTGATTAGTTTTAGTAAACAATGCTTTATAAATAATACCCAGTTGACTAAACTGATACTAAAAGATTAAGCACTGATGTCAGACGAGTTATAAAGACAGGCTAGATTAAGCAACTACTACTGGAAGTCATCTATATGAATGAAAATATCAGCTTACTTAAATTTAGCCGAAGATGGAGTTTAGAGACGTGAAGAGCAGGACTATATAACGCAATGGAATGTTCATTTTTCTCTAACCGTCGTAAATAATAATGATAATATCGACAGAGTTATATAATTTCAAGTGGTGAACTTTTATTTTCAAGATAAAGTCATGAAGTGAAGTAGCTGTATATAACAGTAAGATTTTTATTCATAACTATCCCCCTTTTAGTAAATATAACACCGCAGTATAAGAATAGTATGCTTACAAAAGGATAAAAAAAATTTAGGACTCACGCGTAAAACGCATAGATTCGTTTCAATGCAGCTAATAAGTGAAACTCGTCATCCTGATCAGGTTCCTCTCCCTAAAAAGTGAAAAGATAATACTAACATATAAAGGTGATATTTACATCTCTAATTTTTCAGGACGAAAAAAAAACAAATTAAATGACCCAGTTGATAGACTACTACTACTAAAAGCAAATAACCATATACAGAATTTAGAGCTTTAGCATTTTTAGTGGCTTACACTTCAGATCAACTCAAACAGATGTGTAAATCAACAAGTTGTATAGGAGTGAATGTCAGCAGATACATATTAGCAGAAAAAGCGTATGCACTGAAATGTATTTGCTGGTGAGATGTTATACGTATAGTTGAGTCAAAACATCTCGTATAAAGTTCAGAAAAGTTGTAGCAACAAAATCTATTTGACATGTTACTTGACATGAAACTAAAGAATGTCCTATCAAATTACAAGAACAAATGCGATTGCTAAGAATCACAGTAATAACAAAAACTATATTTATCAAAGATAGAAAGGAGATAACTAAAATTTATAGTATAAACAACAATCAACAATTTTCATATAAAAATTAACCTGATCATTAAAGTAGTTTAAGAATGCATCACGATAAAGATCCACCAAACGATCCAACAATGTTCCACGAACAGTTTGACACTTTGCAGCAATGCTTAGCTCATCAATACACAATGATTCGTAAACACGTGAACAAGCCAATAATGTTTGTGGATCAGTATGACGTTCTACAATATCCTAGAAATGAGAAATGTTTTATAATAAATAACTTTTAATAAAACATGGCATTCGTCAAGTCCACAAACAAAGCATTAATAAATTAAATAAACGTAAGACTAACTCAGTTGATTAACTCTTTATTTATAGAACCAACAATCAGCAACGCTTATCGTTCCTGGTGATGAAATTACATTAGTTAAGATTTTGTCTATGTAAGATAATTATTACATATGATTATTGAACAATTAATTGCGGCATGGAACAAATACAGGCAAAAACATCTAAGCTGGCAGAGTAAATAAACAGCATTGTATTGGTGAGTTTCAAATGATTTAAATCGATTGGAAAGAGTACGATGTCACAAAATACTATTAGTGCTCATGAGCCAACACAACTTATCGGGTTTAATCACTACAGAATGGGATTTAGTTAAATCAGCCAGTCAGTTACAACGAAGTACTTCGTACGTATGTGAATAAGTTAATATTGCCACACCACATTAGCACAGAGACGCATATGTCACTTCAAAGCCCATAGTAGTAGAGGTAGTAGAAGTATAATTCAGTGAGATAAATTTAGAAAGCGAAAGATAGAGGTGATGAGGAATTCAGAAAATTAGAATTTCATAGAACACAACGAGTGGATGCACCTGCTCCATCGCAAACGATTTTGAGCCACGTCCTTCAAGATCTCTAACCATCGGTTACTATCGTCTCGCGGACCCCAACCAGATAGTCTACATCTACCAACATGACTCAGTGGTTAAATCAACCACAATCATCCAGCTGAGCTACAAATTTTCTCCACCATCTCACAATTGGTTATGATGTTACTAAACCTTGTTATTTTTTGATTTAGTTTTGTTTAATTAGCCTTACAAGTGGGAAAAATAATCGAATTTTGGTCAGGATCGCGGGTTTGAGTCTCGATCCATATGGACTTGAGCAAGAAGGCAACAAGAGTTATCATGTTGGTCATCAAGTACATGAACCTGATGAATAATTTATCTAATTACTTGACGATCGAATATAAAATCTAAGCAACAACTAACCTGATAAAAACGAAGACTTCTTTTAAAGCCAGTAAAAGAAACTATGCGTGAGATAGAATGTTCTGCCTTAAACGTATTAACTACTTCTTCACATGCATATGAAAATTAAACATCAAGTGTGCAGACGACATTACATAGAATAAATTTAAACTAGATGATTTATTAGAAATAAAAGTGATCGTACCTGAATAGCTTGGAGTAGAAGATCCAAATGTCTTTCATGTCGGCCTGTAGTGTAGAGTTCCATTTCCATGTGTCGTGGAATAGCAAGAAGATTTGTAGCTCGTTCAGGAGATTCTCCATACTTAGCAAGTAGTGCTGGTATAGCAGTTATCATTGCCTCTGTCATTCGACTACGTTCTTCAGCCAGAGCACGAGCTTCACGGGAAGACGGTGCAGCACTGTTCCCTGTGCCAGTAGTTCCACCACCTCGACCGCGCCCGCCAGCCTCCATAAGGTTCATACCACCAGTCAATAAGTTGGTATTGGAATGTGAATGATGGCCACCAGTCTGTAGACAATGAATGATTTATAGATTATTATACACCGAAACAACACTTGCACAAAATGTTTCGTAGTATAAAGTAAATAAAATAAATGTCAACAGATAAACTCAAAAGTGACTGACCTGTCGCCCTACTGGTGATTCCCCCGTTGCTGCTTGACGAACACAACAAACCATAATTTCAATCAAACTTGTTTCTTGATTTGCATCCATAGGTTCCTCACCCCTACCTGGTTCCTCAAGGAGTAAATCTAGCATAGCTTCCCAATCACGAAGCATTGGGCATAAATCCCATAAACTATCGACCAAATAAGTAGCATGTTCATGCAACTAAAATGAATTAAGGTAAATTATCAGCTACATAAATTAACAATCTGACTAAAAACGATAAGACAAAACAGATAAGTGGACAAAATGAAAAATCACCATCACTTTTAGCTGAGAAACACAATTGTATCTCTTTTTCATTGAAATAAGCACAAAAGTGTTAATTTAGCTTGTCAACTGTCTTTCGAAATGACTCTCAGTGTCATTTATTCAAAATATTCATAGGAATTGCGTTTAAACACCTAAAATGTTGATACTTAGTAATGTTTAAGTATGCGTTAAATATGCTTTACTACGGAAATTGAAATTGCAAATGCAGAACTAGTCACTCTATATTAAGTCATCATCACTTGTCGTTCAAGCTCAGAGAACAAAATCCCAGCATACCTGAGCTACCAATTTTTTTCATGACTTTGCCCAACATAAGATTACTCAAAAAGAAGCAACATAAATACACCTGTAGGGGAAATTATAACTTTCAACAATCAATAATTTTATGATAAATTAGGAAAAACTAAGAAAATTGATGTTGCTTTTGTCGAACTTACTTCACTTTCGATAAAAAATTGCACAAGATCACGAATAAGTGGTGTATTTTCACTACGCTTTTTTCCTTTTCTAGTTCTAGTAGGAGGTGCATGTGAATCAACTTCAAAAAGTTTTAATGTTAAAAATTCACCAGCTGCTTGTGCCAACGGTCTGTGAGTACAATAAACCAATTCATATATGTTTTCACAATCTTTATCTTCAAGCACTGAATCACTATGCCTAAGAAACACAATTAAATAAGGTTAATAAATAAGCAATAGGATACTTTTGATTGAAGCAAACTAACAACACAAATCTTGTAAAAGTGGTGTTCCCCATTTTAAATAAAACATTATAAAAAGCTAGTGGATTCACGAAAATCAATAAAGTTGTGGTATTGACACAGAAATGAGATGCTGTGGTAGCACATAGATGGTTTCGTTATATGATCTTGAAATTAAAGATATGAATGCATTCGGGTGACAACGCTTTTAATATAAATAAGTAAATTCATTTATTAGACACTGGGATAAAAGCCACATCCTAAGTGTGAGAGCTAATGATACTATTATTTCGATGCCTGAATCCAAGGGGATAAAGTAGACTTCAAATCGGTGACTCAAAGTTAGACGCCTTAATTATCAAGGAATTGTTCCATATCAGTGTGGTGTGAGCTACTTATAAGTAGTATATGACGTGAGTGTCAACGTAATGTCTCGCAGCAGAAGATGGGGGAAGATCAAGAACACAATTGAATTTGCATGAAACGCATGAATAGTGACAATGGATCGATGTTTTGCAACAGGAACAGTCAAGTTCGATATGATGAACTGATATTTTGCAAATGAACGACTTACGATATGGTTTTCCGATTTTACTGAGTAACTCTGTAATTTTCGTTAATTACAATTCGGTTGCTCTCACCTGTGTTCTCGTTCACTATATCAGTACCTTTTCCTAGTAATGGAGTGAAGTGATCGAGTTTTTTTAATCACCTCAGCTTTGATGGAATATAAAATGACTAAGTGTGAAAACAAAACGTCAGTCACGTGAGTCGTATATCAGTCTGATTTGATGGAGATGATGAATCTGTAAATACTACATCTAGGGAGAAGTCAGGTTTAAAACCCATATATGGAATACATTGAACTTTGTTTATTAACGTTCAATATATTTTTCCATTTTTGTTAATTAATTTACTATGAAGTTAACAAAATGATCTTAAAACATTTTTATTGTATTAATTGTTTGCGGATTAGACTATAGTTCTGTAAGATTTAAAGACTCACTTCAATATACACGAAACTAGTTTCACAGCTTGAACTGCAACTTCAGTCTCTTTATCAAGTGTCATATCCACAAGACGTGATTTAAAACGAGAAGTGAAAAGTTCCAGACTATTAATGAGAGCAGGATCCTCATACAAAGGTTGTAAAGCACGAAGGCACTGAAGACGAACATCACCAATTCTATCATAAAGTGTCCAACCAACATATTTTAAGTAGCTATCATCTAAAAACATAGCTGGATAACGACGCATCCAAACGCCAATTTCTTGCATACATATTGTTCGTATTTCTGCTTGACTATCTCTACAAAAAGTAAAGTTAAAATGTTCTGTAAAGTAGGAAATCCTACGTAAGCTTTTCGAAAGTTAGTGTTCTAAAGAAACTGTCAAAACATTTGAGATCACCTACATTCTACTATATACCTTGAGTCATGCCTTATCATACCGTAAAACACTTTGGTATAAAGCACATTTGTACTTTTTTGAATAGCTTGCCCAGAAGAAATAAAAGAAAAAGACCTAAACAGCCGTCCCTGGAAAAAATACTGACACAGTCAACGAACTAAATGCCCAACAATAAACTACATTGTAACCCTATTTCGTAAAAATCTAGATAGGAAAGAAAGCGTTAGTTAGTTTAATCAAAACACCTTGTAACACGTTTAGGTGTCAGCTAACTTCATGAACCAGATTTACATCTGATTCTGGTTATAGGGTTTTGTATTTCTACAGATAATTCAACCAGGGTGAGACACTTCAACTGACGAGTCTCAGACAATCTTACCGTAGTACAAACTCATTGAAAAAAACTGCGTACTTGCTTAAAGATCTTGATGGTCTTATAGAAATTAAAGAATGAAGCGAACAGGCTAACATTCAACAGCAAACATATCTCAGTGGAATATTGATAATATTATTGAGAAATGCTAACACCAAAACTAATCATTTCCTAAACATTTTATAAAGTCAAAACAACATTAGATTAAATTAATTAACTCTAAATACACAAGCTTATTCGTTAACATGTTTAGGGATTGGTTTTGTGCCAAGATAACATCGTATTAGTTTCCAACAAAAAAGAAATAAGCGGGAGAAATGGAACAGACTACTTTTTAAAAACCCAACACCAAAGTCCTGAACGCTAAATTTACCTGTAGCGATGGACAAATACACCTTTGAAAATGTAGACAAGCATATTTTTCACCTCTTCCATATTCTCTTCCAATTCTTGTCGACGTTGCATTAACACTTCCAGTCGATCAGAAGCACGTCGATTCTGCACTTTTGATCTTTCCGCTTCATACTGACGTTGTGTATTATCCCTATTGATACTGACATTTAAAGCAACATCAACAAGAGCAGTCATCATTTTCATAGCAGCTAATGTACTTGTATGTCTAAATGCTCGAACCTATGTATAAAGAGTATTTAAGTAGAAATGTTTATTCATAATTAACAGTGACTGATTATTAAGTGAACATAAAGAAAAGGCAAAGATACATTTAAACTTGAATGAAAATAGTTGCATTTAAAGTTTTTATTAAGAAGCTGCAAATGGTGACAACAAAAATACATTTCTATTGACACCAGTTTTTACACTATCATTAAAAACACTGTATATAGGTAATTTCTAAGAAGTACAACTTACTTGTGAGTCAGTAAGACCTGTCAATAGAGAGATTACTTGGTCAATCATGCATTGGTCGTAAATTATGCTATATTGACATTGTCGGATTAATACTTGGATGAATTCAACAAAATTTGAACGAAAACGTTTCCAAACTGGACTTGATTGTATAAGTGGATATTCACCTGAGTCTTCATCAAACTCTTCAGTCATTCGACGAATAATATCAGCATGTGACAAGCGACTATACATTTCCGGTGTTACTTTTCCTATAATGAGAAAAAAGATTTATCTTTAAGAAGTTAAAATCCATAGTTTAAACGTTTAAATCAATGAAGCGACAAGTTAGGGCTCACAAATACGTTGTTGTTGTTGTTGAGGTCAGTAGGAATTCTGGATTATATTTTGAATGAATGAATGAATGAAGCGCTTTTTACACAACGAAGGCTTTTGGTACTCCTTATACCTTAGTCTAGTTAGGTCTTGAAGATACTTTAGTAAACCGTAGTTGTTGTACAAGAGAAAATTGGCAGTGATGAAATACTTATAAATTCTCCTGTTTTTAGTTCTGTTAAAATATCACCAGTAAGTTAAATGACGATTTTATAATAAAAGTAATCCCGAAAGGTAAATCAACTGCACAAGGGAAATATTGAGGTCTATGTCTAAATTTTAAAAAGTGCTTAGTAGGAAAAGCTTTTATTTAGTAAAAAGGAAGGGGCAAGTTAATCAACCGAGTCACATTAATAAATGGCCTTAAAAAGTGATTGAAAAGATTTATAAGAATAAAAAGTATTCTTGAACTGTTATATTTTACAGGTATATTTTGTGCTACTTCAAATTTGTACAGTAGTAGTTTAGTGAACAATGCATTTGGTTTTTAAATACTGGGTGGGGGAATCCAGAGTTTAATCTAATTTAGATTTAGGGGGCAGACTTTACGAACTGCTGAGAACACCCTTAAAAATACTTATTATCATTACCCAAATATCTCATATTGATCGTTTAACGGCAATCATTAGTCTCAATCAATTCCCTTAGTTTTTTCATGCTTTTGTCAGTAGTTCTAAACAGCTGATTTTTGGCTGGTTTCTTTTTCTCAAAACACAAGTCATTTATAAAGGCTAATCTTTCCTTTTGGCTAGTGCGAACTTGTGTATTTGTCGTCCAACTTATTTAGTCACGTTAGATTCGCTCAAGCGTCAGTAATATCCCAGCTGCATTGTTTCCAGCTTGGAGGGTAACATTCTCACACAAAATGTATACAGAAACTGCTTAACCAATGATATATATATATATATATATATATATAGTAGTACACAGAATCTCACCTTTGCAACCACTACATGAAATAAAGAACTGGATCAACTCCAACATAGCAGGCTCACGATTTGTTTTGTATTGTTCAATCCAATCATCAACCACTGTTTGTGGAGCTACTCTTCCCGACCGTATAGCTCCATAAAGAGTATGTTCATCTTCATCAAGTAGGGTTCCAGCACCTACAACATTGGGGAAAAATAATTGTATTACAGATAAAAAGCAAAACAGTGCAAGTTGCACTATGACATCGACTCTTCAAATATTGAATGCTACACAGTAAGTGGTTTTGGTTGCAAGGAAAGAATGTGAAAAACGAAAAAGATTGAGATGAGGAAATTGGAAGCTCAATATTTTTTGTCATAAACCCAGAACAGCAGATACAGGAATTTAACGGGTCTACTCAAGAACAAGAAATCAATTGAGGGAACAAATATTTACATAATTTAAAAGAAACATGTGACTTACCGATATCAAAAGTTGGATGGGTTGGAGGTCTTCCCCGACGCTTTTTGACTGGAGGTACATAGGGAGCTGAAGGTGCTTGAAAACCAGTGGGAGCGTGAGGATGTTGATTACCAGAATGGTGGATATCATTACCTCCGGAAGCACTGTTGTTTAGTTGCATGGGTAAATGGTGTCCTGGATACTGAGAATTAGATAATTCAGTTGTGTGGGCGGCTGCTTGTGTATTTTGCATTTGGGATGAATCTCCATGATAAGGATATACAGGTTGTTGTAGATGAGATGTATGAGTGAGGACATGGGATTGGTCTTGCAGGTGATAGGCAGAAGTGTTGTAACCATCTTTGGAGATGGGTGGAGAATGATGCGATCCATGATGATCTATAGGAGAATATCGAGGATTTGAAGTGACAGTGGGATTATTAGACTGCAAAGGATGAGGAATTTGTTGGTGGGCCGGTATCTGGACGCGCATTTGATTTACCTGGTTAAGAGGGCTTGTATCGTGATTCGAGTGCGACTTTGTTAACCGTTCATTACTGTCATATACTTAAATAAATAGGAACGAGGGAAAAACGTTTAGAAAAATGAGATTTATGTGATATATTTAGCATAACTGATAATAATGAACTCTTCACACTAGACTAAAAAACGGATTTTAAATGTAGTAATGAGGAAGATAACAGTATTGAGTGGTAAATTAAGCTTTTTATTAATTAATGTAACTCAATTGTGAAGTCTTTTGTGAATAAGTCAAAGCAAGGCTGACTCACAGATTACCCAACTATATAAACCGAAAAAGCGGAAGAGTTAATCAAGGTTTAGATCCAATTGTAAAGTATCCGGAAAAACTCAACGACTACTAAGCAACGGGCATAACAATACATGTAATAGTCATCAAGTTCATTAAAGGATTTCGCATTTTGAAATGCAAATCAACGAGTGAAGCAAAATTTGGAAATAAAGTTGATTAGTTTGAATGGACAACTAACCAGGCAAAGAATGCTTAAACAGTTGTGGCTTTGCGCTTTGGAATTTAGGATTATTTACTGGGTTATAGGTCTACAGTTTGCCCCACCCGCTACCCCATAAATAACCACATCTTATCCTCCAGATACTATATATGGTAGGGTAGGAATACATAAGCCCAGGTTAGTGAGTTGCATTTTGTTTAGTATCTGAAAAACTGATATTCACGCTTCAATGATAGGGGGCTGAATTATTATTCACTTAAGTATTAACACGTAGAACACTGATTAAGGCATTTAAGTCCTACTTTGATTGGGGCAACCAGATAGATTTACTTGCCTGCAAGAATATGACTTGGAGCTGCCTACATGAATTCGAAATTGATAATCGAGTTACTTCACCATGTTTTAACAAAAATCGTCAAATGAATTTCCTTACAGGTCGTTTTCGATATGATCAAATTGATTAACTAACCGACGCTCTGTATTTCAAACTTCGCATTTAATTCAGAATTTCCTTACTCGACTTCATTACATGGAAGACTTGCAAGAATATATACTGCTCAATTATATATGGTATTAGCGATCACGTCTTGCATAATCGTATCCAAAGTACTGAGTTACAACATTGTTTCGTACTTTACATGCTCTGAATTCATTCTTGTTCAACTACAATTCCCAGTACTTGGTCTTTTTGTTATCGATGCTACTGTTGTTCCTGACTATTCCATTCACCTTTATAATTATAATTCATCGTACTAAAGTAATAAAACAACTTCGATTAACGCAGATTTGTCACATGCTATGTGGTGATTAAGACTGAATTAGGTAAATAATTCAACTTTTATCAGTATCACCAGTAAAATTAGATGGTAAATGCCGACCACTTTTAGCTTTGGAGATTTTGTCGTTCGCCAACCCACTGATGCAAATTAAACATCTTAAGTTATAACACGCTGTGTTTAAATTATCCTGCCTGTGTCAGCAAACTATGAAGCTGTGCCAGTTTAGTCATCCACACCGCAATAAGACAGAAAATCATAGCACGCCACAGTTTGATAATGTGGGGATGAACAACCAAAAAATAGCACTAGTTCATTAGAAAAACAATACACAACTTCAGAACTCTAAAAATGAGGTCAAGATTCTTATCACTAACAAATAAAACTTTGAAAATTGCCGACTGACTCTAGTGTTGTCTTTTGATCAGCTTCTAAATACACTGATACGACTGATGGTGGAGAGTCTGCTCTTCATCTCGAAATGCTCTCATACGGCATTGGACAGGGAAGTCTTACTCACTGACTTCTCACCACCGGAGTGCTGTTTAAGAAATTGAGAGGACCAAAGTGAATTCCCGGTGCGTAAACCGAGTTGGTGGGTACGGGGGATTTACATAGAGGTGGAGAACCCTGATTTCAGGCATATTATATTACATTAATTTTCTCTTTCCTTGATTTACAATTATTACCTTATAACTATTTAAACTTTTATTCAGTTGACCTTTTATTAATCTTCATTTAAATTCTCACTATTCTATCAAAACAATTTATTAATTTCTGACCACCAGATACCATGGGACTACACTTCTTAACGTTGGTCCACTGCCTTATTGGATTAGACCTCCAGACCAAAGGCTGAAGAATACCCCCGCAAGAAAACCACCTGCTTTGCTTTGGGGCACCTGAGCAGTATGACAACTCACAAATCCAACGATTTGTGTGACGCATTTATATTTCAGTACCCTTTTGTACCTGTTTGCATCTAAATAAATGTCTTTTGGCCATTCAGACCAGCTCGTCATTAATAACCAAGTAAATATCGATCTATGTGATAACAGTCCCACAATGCTCTCATATGGCCACGCGTATACAGCCACAGCCAGGGAAGTTCTATTTACACTGTCAACATAAGCGCCATTATTGGATTGTGTAAAATTAACGAAATCTGCTTTTGACGACCACTAAAATCAACGTTATCTTTTATAGATTGCGTTCAGCATTATACTGTTGGGTATAACTGGCAGCACTACACCTCTACTTATTTTATGGCTATAAAATGTGGCCTCTAAAGTAGAGTACTTGTATCTAGCCAAAGATGTCCTCGAAACATTTTTCGAGGACCGTCAAGTTAGCTATTCGGAGGTTAGACACTACTTGGTAAGAATGGCAAGTTGACTGAGATGTTGAGGGCATATTACTTATACCCATCCATCTCTCTACGCTGACTGACTGACATCCACCAACTAGCTCAACGAGCTATGAAAGCTAGTAGGGTGGGTTGGAATCAAACTAGAGACGGCAGCAAAAAGACACGATATTAGCCTAGTAGTAACAACAAACGCTGGTTAGAATACTATACCTGGTTAGTTAATTTAAATAATTAGACATAAATGGTCAAACTTATCATGGCATGAAACGTTTTATCCCGATCTCTGTAAAACATCTCGGTCAGTCATCAGTCAGTTACAACGTAGAACTTCGTACGTGCGTACATCAGTTCAAGTTGCCACACCACATTAGCACAGAGACGCGATTGCCACTTCAAGTCCCATAGTAGTAGAGGTATTACCAGTAATCGGAAAGTTTAGGGTTCGAAGATATTATTCAAGAAGTAGAATCTAGCGAAATAAACTTAACACGAAAAAGATAAAGGTGATGAGGAACTCCGAAGGTTAGGACTTGAGAGGATACCATGAATGAATGCACCATTGCAAACAGTTTTGAGCCATGCCATTAGGCGTCTCTGAACATCCTTTACCATCATCTCGTGTTTCCCAACCAGGTAGTCGACACATGCCAACATGACTCAACCCAGTTGTCAGTAACTGCATGGATTTGCGCCATGTTTTGTTTTGGTCGCCCCTAAGCTTCTTCCCACCTATTCCTACATCACAAAACATAGCTCGATGAGGCAGCTGGTGGTTAGGCATACACAACACATATCCTAACCACTTCAAATGAAGAAGTTTCAATACTTTATCTAATGATTTGCTATCCCTACCTAATACTCCTTTCCTAAAGACAGCATTGCTTACTCGGTTGTTCCATGATACACGAGCAATGCTTTGGAGACACAGATGATCGAAAACCAGTAACCTACGAATATCTTCTACTCCGACTGGCCATGTTTCGCAGCCCTAATGTAGGACGGAGCGGACTGCTGCGCAATACACTCGACCTTAGTTTAGCAGACGTATATCTTTGTCTATTATTCCAGGTTGTTGGTGGATGAGCATACGTAATATGCCCTAATCATCCTACTCGATTTGACATTCTTACCATGTACTCTGTCTAAACTCTGGATAGCTAACTGGATGTTTCCTGTAGCCTCTCTTGGGCTACTGCCGGTCCCAAGCCCGGATAAAAGAGGTTTGGGCTTGGGGTTGGCAACCTCATCCCGCAGAAAAGTAACTCGCTAAAAAACCGCTAACCAGAAAATATAATTCGAGATACATAAACAATGGTTCAAAGACATCTTTGGCTGGATGCAGTCAGTCGGCCAATACATAGAACTTGGTACGTACGTACGTCAGTTCAAGTTGCCACATTACATTAGCAAAGAGAGGTCGAATTGTCAACTCAAATCCCATAGTAGTAAAGGTTGTAGCAGTATTAGCGGTAATCTAAAAGATTAGGGATCGAAGATATGATTCGAGAAGTATAAACCAGTGAAATAAACATAAAAGAAAAAACGGTCATGAGGAATTCAGAAGAATTAGAATTTGGGAGAAGACGAAGAATGGATGCATCTGTCACTAAAAATGATTTCTAGTCATGTTATTCAATCCCTAGCCATCGGTTACGATTGTCTCACCGATCCCAACCAGGTAGTTTACATCTATCAACATGACTCAGTCTGATTGTTGGTGACTTCATGGACCGATGCCATGTTTGGCTGCCCCTGGTTTTCCTTCGTCCTACGCCTATACTAAGGTTATATCGTGAAAAGTCAGATGATGAAAGTGTCGTTCTAAGAGCACATCAATGACAAAATCAAACAGGAATGAAGAGCCCTAATGAAGACCAATTGAAGTAATCATTTCCGATGACAATTCGTTACAAACTCTCGGTCGACCAGTAGTGTTCAAATAGAGAGCCTGTGTAAGGTTAAAGTACTTCTTAGGTACCCCTTGCAATGACAGACACTGCCATAGAACCTCATGATCAAGAGTCAACTGCTACCATGACGTCAAGGAATACAACTATTGTCGGGTGTTTAAACATGTGCCTATGTTCTATGACCTGACGCAGTGTGAATATTTAGTTTATGCATCGATGTCCAGGTCTGAAACCAGCCTGGTGTTTTCGAGTCTGCTCCTCACGAGCTTTGTGCGTCGAAATATTATTGAAGCTAACATTTTAAACACTGATTTAGTTAAACTGCTTCCTCTGTGATTGCTACAAGAGCACTTTAGTACTATCTTATAAACCAGTTAGATAGGATTACATTCAGTTCTCAAATTCTTAGTCATTTTCACTACTAAAACTGGACGGCCATTCTTAAAAATCTCAGCAGCTAATCCATCAGGTCCTGCTGCTCTCCCTCGATTGCCTATAGCTTTTCCAACATCAAGAGTTGGAGGACTTACATCAATTTGCTGTTTAAGTTGACTGGAAATTGCGAATAACTGAAGTGTTGCTGAGTGGCTAAAATGTTCTGTTCATAGATCCGATCTCCGGAAGTTAGAGTGGATAGCCCTGTCCTTCTCAGAGTCTTTACAACAACCTGATCTCTCACGACCTTTCAATGCTAAGTGTGAATAGCTGTCTACTGTTACCTATTGCCGCTGAATTCTCCACCCCTTTTCCTTTCGCTACCCACCACTGTTCGCGACCATTGCCTCCGTTCCTCGTTTTGTTCACAACCAAACAAGATGATTTTCCGAGCATCTACCAGTTCAATAAATTCTACTGAAATTCACTGCTCCTGCCTAACCTTACCGGCAGTTGCTGTTCCCACAACTTTTTGGATATCATTCCAAGCTGGGTTAGGGTGGATTGTACTGTAAGCTGTTTTATTGACAGACGGATATCCCGTCAGCTCAAGTTTGCAAAGTCAACAGCCTTCTGAATGGATGTCTAGATTTTGTCAGTCACCAGTTTACCAGAACTGTTGAAACTTTCATGATGAGTAACGTGATCGATACACTCAAATACTTTGCTTCTTCAGCGTACTTCAAGTGTTGATGCATACCAGTCCCAAAGGAGAAACATATTCGGAAGATGCTAGAATGGTGGTTATGAGCGATCAGGAGACTAAACAGCTTAAGAATCAACCAATTTTATTAGTAAGCAAATTTTCTGACAACCGATAGTTATGAACCGACGACCTAAAGTATAATTTGAATTTGATCAGTTTTCAGAATGACTTGACAGGTGACTTTTTGAAACAATTGCTGTTGGAGACTAACACTACAACTGTTAATGGTACATACTTTTAATCTTCATCATGACAGGTATTTGTGGTTGATGTTGAGATTAAGTGAATTAAGTTAGTGAAGTTTTATTTTTGATAAAAGAGAATGAATATTAGTCATCTATCATTTATTTAACTTTTATAAAAAAAATGAAAAGATATCCAAAATGTCTTGCTCTAAATGCAGTTATTCCGTACTTCATATATAGAGGATTAGATTTTGAAAATCAGCTTTCTGTGCCTATAGTTTCTTGGAAGCACTAACATTATCATGTTGTTATCTCGCCGTGTTGTTGTGGTGTGGCAATTTGTTAGTTATATATATGCTAGGTTTCAAAACCACATAGATAACGGATTCGTAACTGATATGGAGCCAGCACACGAATTTGCAGATTCACATTTGTGCCACACAGTTAGGGAAATACATTATAAAGGTGGTAACATTTCTGACAAATGACAGTTTAAGTATGGATCTTAAGACCAGTTAGTTGGGAACTTTGTGCTACAAAATGAGCAATGTTTTGATTCGAAAGACAAACAGGTAATTTGAATATGAGAAATTGAGTCTGACGGTAGTCACTATCCGTAGTAGTACTAACAACTTAAAGAGGTCACACAGCAGCTTGGTTGACAGGGACATCTCACTGCTGTGGCACAGTCAAAACCAGGGTACTACTTTGAGTTGTGCAGTACTATTCGGTTACTCAATTAACAGTGACAATGTGGTTTCTTATCTCCAAATGCTACCGGATTTAAAGGTAATTGAGGATGCATAAATTCACATTCTAGCTAAACAGTGAAGTTGACAATGTTCATTAACCGACAAAATGGTAATTTTCTAAACTGCCGGGTGTTTGAGGCTTCTTAGAGAGCTGGACACTAATGCTATGAGTACTAGTTTGTTCATTTTTAAAAGATAATACATGCGGGGAGTAGAATTTCCAATACACCACAGATATGTAAAAATAACTAGGATCCAGTAGGTTATCATGCATTCGTAGGCGTAATCTAGCTCACCAGTAATGAGCAAGTCACTCTGGACAGACAAAAGTGTAAATTATTTGCCAAACGGAATATTTGTTCATATTCCGAAACTGTACCTTGAGAAGTGAAATGACCCGATCGCTGATGCTGGATCTGCTGTTGCATTAAAATCTGCTGGACAGATGAGGTTGAATTGACATATGGGTCATGAGTATGGCCAAAATGATGGCTTTGTGACGGAATGCCAAACTGATTCGGAAGGCGGGTATTAGCACCCTCGTGTTGTATATGTCCCGAATTAGGATGGGAAGACAGTGAACCGCCAGAGACATGAGGGTGATGGGCATGGTACTAAAAAACATATATACAAGCGTAAGCAATGTGTATGTCAAATGGAATTTGACAACAACTACAGGTTACATGAAGAAACATGTATATTATTGCATACCAGGTTCTAAAAGAGTCCAAAATTTGCAACACATGATAAAACTAATAACTAATAGTTAACAAATTCCAAATATTGGTTGAGCAGTAGCTGTCATCCCACAAAAAAGCAGAAAAATCATTTAATATAGACCAACCAACCTGATCCATTTGAAGGTTTACAT